TGTGCAATATTCATGGGATTCATGTGGGTAAACTTTGAGGGCAGGCCATCTTCTTGGATGCAAGGACTAAGACTGGATAAAAAGAAGGATCATCAATATGAGTGTAAACTATGGTATAAGGTGTGCAGAATTCTAGAGACAGTGGTTAGGGATTGTGAAGATGCTTGGAAAATAGCTGTGAGAAACTCTTTCCTGTGGAAGGAAACCCTTGAAATGCTGGTCAAAGAATGGAAGTTTATTTCACAAATTCAGAATTTGTGACATTTGGAATGGAAATGAGAGGCAGGAAGTTGTTTCTTAGAAAAAGGCACTTGAAAAAAGGTCAAAGTGGAAGGACCAGGTGTGTGAGATCAACGAAGTGCTTTTTCGTCAATATCCTATTATATTCACTTTAGGAGCAAGTTAGGACTTTTGGTCATTTACTTTTGAAAAGGTTCTAAAATGTAGCAAAGTGCATCCCTATTTGCACTGTATATGTAACAATTGAACATCTCTACAACGGAACTTCTTCATGTGTAATACTAAACTTACGAGTTTCCTTCCAAAACTTCACTTTTACAGTGTTGTGATAATGAAGATGCTTAGAGAAGGACACTGAATATGGTCAAATTATTACTTTATAATAGTATTTATGCATATATATAGTGCTATGTACCATGCACTATTCTTAGTACTTTATTAGCCCGTTTAATTCTTCTAATTACTGTGAGTAGACGTTTTACAGATGGAGAAAATATAGCATTTGCCTCATTTTACGCAGGTAGCAGGTAAGAGAGGTAGAACTTGACCTTAGACAGTCTTACTTGAGAAACTATGCTCCTAACCGTTCTACCATGTTGCTTTTTGGTACATGGCCTCTGTGTAATTAGTGTTCCATTAATTCAGAATTTGTGGCATTTAGAATAAATGTTGGCGACAATAGAAAATGGAAGAGAGGTTTTATGCGTTTGAGGAAATAGTTTCTATACCTCAAACACTTTAGGAACACCTGTGCATGTGTGAAGAATGTACCAAGCACAACTGTTGAGTGTAGCTCTCGGTGAACAGGTGATATGTGAGTTCTGTGAAGAAATGGCAACTATTTTCATTGTAGTGAAAACATAATTCCAAAAATATATAATTTTCCTTTCTACTGAGTAGAGAAAATAGTTGGAATACACTTATTATTATTATTATTACATGATGACTTGCCTATTTGTTTTAATTTTGATGACTTTTTTATTTTGCAGAAATTTCGGAGTGCTTCAGTTGGGGCTGAGGAGTACATGTATGACCAGACATCAAGGTAAGTGACCAGGAGATGCATCCCTAGAAACTGATTAACTGGCAACCCTTTAAGTGTACCTCCAAGTTATACTTTTAAACCTTTTTTTCTTGCATACTTTTACAGAACAATCTGATTTCCTTTGTCTTCGATTCTTTTCTCTGTACAAATGCCTTCTATACCATTGTTTCCAGTCTTGACCAACTTTCTGGGGCCTATACCTTTCCCGCTTCCTTCTATTGGCTAGACATTCCTTCTTAGGTGTTCCTCTGAACCTCAAACTCAGGTGCCTCCAACCCAGCAGGTATAAAATGGAACTCTTTATTTTTCTTTTCCTCTTCTTTCCCTCCTCCTCTACTTGTTTCACATCTGTTCTTCTGCTTTTGTTTCCTATTGTGGCTAAGGATGTACCCACCCTCCGAGCCACCCCAGCTAGAGGTATAAGGGTCTGCCTTCTTCCTGTTGTACTTTTCTAGCACTTTCCAAGTGCTGAATTGTCTGTTCTACCTGTCTTCTCCCTTTCAACTTATTGTTGTCAACTTTCTCTTGAACTATTGCTATACAACTGATCTCCTTGCCAACACTTCCTTTTCTCTTCTGTTCTACTTTGCACACAGCTAGCTACCAGCTGTCATGCACTCAGGTGCCTTCCATGTACCAGCAATGCAAGTAGGATTGGAGATAAGATATAGCCTCTCCTTACAAGAGGTCCAGAGACTGCTGGAGGAGACATTTGTGATGACAGACAAACTACATTTGCTAAATGATGAGTCCTGCTACAGAGAAACAAGAGAGAACTGAGTGGACCTATGGGCCTGGGTGGGGCGTAGTTTTGGGGGTGTGGGAGGACAGAAGGCAGATTTTCCCAGGAAATGGCATTTGAGCTGGATCTTGAAGGATTCACAGCAGATGTTTTCTAAGAAAAGAAAGAGGATTAAGAACATTTTAGGCAAAGGGTCATTTTTAAAGACCTTGGTTGTGATCATGCCTAAAGATAAGAGAGAATGGCAAGAAAGAAATTTCTCTCTCCCTTTACAAAACTCACTAGTGATTTCACCATTTCAGACAGAATTAAATGCAAATTCCTTACAAAGATGGTCGGGGCCCTCTATGTTCTGGTCCCTTTTTACTTAAAACCCCACATCCCACCTTGTTTCCTACTCCTTTGCTTTTACATGTATGGCTCTTTTCCATTCTCTCCGTTTCCACTTAGAGTCGTCTGGATCCTTCAGGGTCTTTCTCCAATCTCAGGCTCCCCAGTCATCCTCCCCTGCTCATCCTAATTAGAATTTGGTATGTTCTGGGAGTTGGGGAAGGAAGTGGGAGATGGCAAAGACAGAATTCCGAATCCCTTCTAAAATGTGGAAATGCATATATTGCGTGCTGTAAATTCAGAGCACCATGTGATCAGCCATCGGGCCAGTGGAAAGAGTCACTGGACCTGCTTCTCTTTCTGCTGCCGTCATCATCTTGCAGGGCGAGCACATCTCTCAGCCTCTCCTCAGCTGTGAAGCGAGGAAGGTGGGCTGAATCCTGGGTACATGCCCTGTGTTACGGAACAGCTGGGGGGACATTAATCCCTAAAATTATATAAAAACTCATTTATGTTCATATGTGCCTTTTTCTAGGAAGAGGTTTCACAGCTTTCTTCATGTTTTTAAAGCAGTCTGTGCCCTGGACAAGGTGAAAACTACTGGCTTAGGTGATTCCTAATATCCTGGCCAGGTCTAAAATGTTATGATTGAATGATAGTATATTGAAATTGCTTTTTCAGGCAAAATGACAATGCAATCAGTTCCATCTAGAATGATTTATTTCCCACCTTATTCCAAGACACATATTCTGGAATTTGCTTAGTTTATTAGCTTAAGCCTGAGATTTTTTTTCCAGAATATTATGGGGGTACAAATGTTTTGGTTACGTGGATTGCTTTTGTACTGCTTGAATCAAAGTTGTAAGTGTGCCCATCACTCAGATAGTGTACATTGTACCTGTTAGGTATGAATTCACCCGTCCCTTTCTCCTTCCTCTCACCTGCATGATTTCTGCTGAGTTTTACTTCCATCTGTGCACGAGTGCTGATCAGTTAGTTCCAATTTAATAGTGAGAGTACACGTGGTGTTTGTTTTTCCATTCTTGCAATACTTCACTTAGGAGAATGGTCTCCAGTTCCATATAGATTGTTGCAAAAGGTGTTAATTCATTTTTTTTATGGCTGAGTGGTACTCCCCGGTACCATGTATACCACAGTATACATATACCACATTTTATTAATTCACTTGAGATTTTTATCATATAAGAAGAATATTATTTTGCCCTTCAAAATATTTTCTCATTATAAAAGTTAAAAAATAAATAAAACATTATAGAAATAATGTAGAAAGCAAGAGTCCCACATAATCCTGTAAGGAGGCCATTTTAAGAGAAAAAGTTTGAGTTGTCTTTGCACACAGGCTTCCGAAGACTATGAAATGAAAGAGCTAAAAAAAATTAGAACCAATGGAGAGGTTCTGATGATTCAGAACATACACA